GTGTTAGTAAAATTACATTACAATATAATGCTAGATGTCTAAGGTTAGGTATGCAAAAAGTTACGCATCTAGCCTTGAAGTTCACTAGACTCACACTTTTGTGCTATGGGGCCAGAATTCCATTGATTACTGCCCCCCTTCCCCCAATTAGCTCAGAGGATTATTTATTTATTGGGTTGGGTTGGTCTGGAGTTTGTGTTAAGGGAGATGCAGTGGCATACCTAGGGCATTTGACACCTGGAGCAGGGAGGGCACACAGTGGGGCTTACTTATGAGCAGAGGTCATTTCCTGCAGGAGTGCACAGGAGCGGAGCTCCGGCAGTAAAGAGCCCACCCCCTGCTCCCAGCAGCCCTCAGTCAGAGCAAGAAGCAGCCAGGTAAGTTGCAGAGGGCCCCCCCGGTCCAGAACAGTCCAGTGGCACCTTTAAGACCAAGTTTTATTCAGGTACAAGCTCTCCCTCCTCTGTGAGGACAGATCTGCATGTCCCCCCCCCCATAGCTAGCAATCCAAAACAGTCCAGTGGAGCCTGAGCAGTGGGTGTTGCCTTCTGACACACTTCCGGTGATGCCAGGGGGTGTGGCATATGCAAAGGAGTTATGCTAATGAGCTCCTGCACCTCTTTTTCTACGAAATGACCCCTGCTTATGAGTAAACATGCAAAGGAGTGGGACCGTTAGAAAGGAGGGGGCATCCATTGATGGAGAAAGGGGGAGGAGAGAAAGCTTTGATTGTTATTTTTTTACAAAAGGCACGAAATGTGTTTCAGGTTTGATAAAGGAGACCTATTGAGTACCTGGTGCAGAGAGGCAGCGGGGGTGTCTCTCTAGCCCTGTCCAACCCTCGGAACTTCATCAAAGAAGGGTAGGCTTTGAAAAAAGACTATCAAGGGGAGGGGAAACCAGATCAACCAGTTTGCGTTTTCTAAATGGTGCCGGAAGGTCTTGGTTGGGGAAAAGGAATATTTTTGATGATCCCCTGTCTCCCTTACTCTAGAGTAGGCAACCCCTTATTGCCTGCACCTGGGGCAGACTGCGCCTATCTCCCTGCCCTTGGTATGCCAGTGGGGAGGTGTGTGTTGGAAACACATAAAAGAATTTGTCATCTACCAGTCCGAGAGGCTTGGGACTTGTAGACTATAAATAATAAATCCCCAAATCTTTGACAGCCTGAGACTTGGCAGCACAATAAACAGTGTAATTTATAGTTACTTTCCCGTGTAACATAATTTATTCTGAATGTACAATCCGGATTTTATTGATGCACTGTTTAGATTACTTTTGTTTGGGGTATTAATACCCTGAGTACATTACAGTTTTCTCCGAGCATTCCAGAATTCATACATTATTATCTGCTTGCAAGGAATCTTCAGCTTGTTTGGGTGTAATTATCTTTAAGCTGTCAAAAGAAAATGTAAAAAATTTCTGTGGTCTCGAGCAACATTTATGTATAAATACAATGCACTCTAATAGCAGCAAATACATTTAAGTGGATCGAACAAATTGAACAATGCTGCTTTCCCTTGGGGAGGGGGCCATCACTTTGTGGTACAGCATGTTTTGCATGCAGGGAGTTCCTGGATCGAATCTCTGACATCTCCTGTTAAAAGAATCTCTGGAAGCTCGACTGGGGAAGACAAGACCTCTGTTATGAATTTGCAGAGCGGTTGCCAGTCAGGCTACACATACTGGATTCAATAGTCCCTGATAGCCTAAAGCAGGTTCATATGTGGACGACACCTGCTGTGGTCCTGATTCCGGTCAAGTCAGACTTCGTTGTGTACAACCAAAGTGGCCAGATGGAGGTGGACATCTCCGTCTGCATCGCATACGTCTGTTACGATAAATAGGAGCTGAGTGAATGTGACTATACCTTGCTTGTTAGGACTTCTGTATAAATGACTGAGCGGTCCTTCTGGAAGCAGTTCTGCAAAGCAGTATTTCTGCAGGCTGCGAGAACATCCCTCTCGAAATGTACTTTATATATATACCTGATAGGGACATGTGGCCCCCATCTGTGGATATCTAAATCTGCAGATTGGGGCTACACCAACACTAAACAGATTTTTCTACAAACTTGGGGGATCCCCCAGGTTTGCAGAAAAATCTGAAATGTTAAAAAATACATTGCAGGTTTAAATTCTCCCTGTCATGCCCAAGGTCCACCTCCTAGGGGATGCCACCTTCTGCTGTCTTGACTGTTAGGATGGGGTGCTCCAACAAGCCTCAGAATGAGAAGAGGAAGGGAGTTTGCTTCAGACCTCCTGCTCTCGGCTGGTGACCCTTCTGTGAAACTAGTACTCCAGCCAACTCCTCCCTGGCTTACTCCGTGGAGCCTCCTTTTATACTTCCCCTTCATCTGGTGGACCTTGCCCTACCCTTGTGTCGGGGTGATGGCCCCTGCCTGTCAAACAAAAGGGGGGCTGGCATGCCCAGGCAGAAGTTTTGGACAGCGTAGCAGGAGACCGCGCCACTGAGACAGCTGGCCACCAAATTTGGGTGGTTGTTCCCATCTTGGATGATTACGTATAGCACCGCATTAGAGTAAGGTTTTATTGTGATTTTAAATATTGTATTCTACTATATCTGAGGTTGTTGATCTTTTCCCCAGCAATCTTAATTCGCACTTGTGATTCATCCAGGCCGGCATTTCGATGGGTCGCGAAGAGTCGGACTCGACTGTGCGACTGAACAACAACAAAATTCTACTATATGTTTTATTGTATTTTACACTCAGCTTTGCCGCATGTGAGCCGCCCTGAGCCTTTGGGAGGGCGAGATATAAATCAAACTAATAAATAAACAAATAAATAAACAAACGTGGGAGCGGCCATTGGGCCCTGGCCTCCCTGCCTGCCCCTCTTGCCCTCTCCCATGTGGCGCTCTGCCTTGTGGATTTGCTGCTGTTGCTGCTGTTGCTCCTGCTGTTTTCTTGGCCATCCAGAGGGGGCTGGCTTCTGGCTCCAGATCTTGGGGTTGAGGTGGTGGGGCCAGCTTTGTGCAGGCTCCTGGCACCACTATTGTGGCCATTGGGTCACTCGATGGGCTTGCCTGTTAGTGGCTGCTGGTGCTGTGCCCGGGCTTGCTGACACAGCCCTTCACGTATGCCGTGTTTTGCCTGGCCCTGCCTTTGTCCCAGCATGGACAGCCATATCTTGGCTCCATGGGCCTCCTGCTCCTGGCTTTGGCCCTCTTGCCGATCCCTGCTCCACTGGCAATGGGAGATCAGAGCATCTGGGGCTTATGGTAGGTTTGGGCTCCCTCCCACATTCTCAGGCCATGTCAGGTATGCTACAGCCCTGGACACCCCCCAAATGAAGATTTTTAATTGGTTCAGAACTACTTGATTGAATAGGCAGAAGTGACTAGATCAAATGTTGGATCCACCAGAACTTTTCTGTGGATGGAAGGATTTACTCCCACAGAGTGTGATTTCTCTCCCCTTCCGCTGCAGCCCCAAATGTCCCCTTGCAATGCTGACTCTGGGGGCCAAGGGTACCTTTAAGAACAGCATTTCAGTGGGGTATTTTGGACTACAGAGAGGAGGTCACGCTCGGCAGGTAGAAATCCTTCCATCCTTCCATCTTTGGAAAAGCTTCAAGGGATCCAAGCGCTAGGCTGTCATTCTATGTGCAATTATTGCTCCATATTTTAGTTTAAGCAAGAATAACTTGTGGATAACTGTGCAGCCTTGCAGCCAGTACTGAAAAACATAACCTCTGAAAGGTGATATCCTGAGAGTATGAAGGGCAAATAAAAATTCACATTTTAAACATACAATTAAGACCTTTACTGAAGAGGTGTCAGGCTGTATATGTAAAGTGTGGCATCCTTTTTAAAACATGCCTAAAGAATGCCTAAAGAATGTCAATATGTGTATGACTTTTCCAGCATCTTTTTTTTTCTCCATAGAAAGAGAGTGCAGTGTGATGAGTCTGTAGATATTACTGTGTTAGATCTCTTAATAGTGAATTGTTTTAACGTATCTAAACTGTGCAGAGGTCTATAGGGCAGAATCCATAGGGCTGTGAACTGACCTTCATGTGTGTTAAGCCAGCATTATATTACTACAGCCCTCTGCATCCTCTGAAAGAGCATCCCTGCAGGTTGGGAGGTCCTCTGGACCGAGATTTCACTACCTCTGGAAAGGAAAGCTGGGTTGGGGGTGGCGGAAAGGGCCATCAAGTCACAAGAAAACATATGGCGACCCCTGTGGGGTTTTCAAGGCAAGAGACGTTGTTCAGAAGTGGTTTGCCATCGCCTGCCTTCGCATCATGAATCAATGATAAGCTTTATTGCATTAGCTCACAGCCTTAGCAATTAACACCAAAATACCAACAAGAACATCAGAGTTGTGATGCAACAATCACAATCACAATAACAATAACAATTCTAATACACATTACAATTTTGTAAACAGTCTGATGATGCAACAATCACAATACACATTACAATTTTGTAAACAGTCTGTAAGATCACAACAAAAGCCTGAGTTAAAACCAACATCAATTCAAGCAATTCAGCCAGATAGTCGACAAAATACATCAATTTATCCATCAGCTCCATTAACAGTGGATGGCTTTGGTGTTTCACCCATGCAACAAAATTTGCCGTTTGCACCGTTATCCATTTACTTTTGTCAGCAAGTAATATAGTTAGTCTATCATTATCTGCTCTCCCTAGATATTGTAATAAAATATTTCCAAGATATCTTTCACATTCTAGTGCAAGTCTTGGGCAGCAGAAGACCACATCTGCATCACAACACTGTAATTCCTTTGAGGTCTCCCTGAATACCAGCAAGGGTAGACCCTGCTCAGCTTCCGAGATCAGACGAAATCGGACTAGCCTGGGCTAGCCGGGTCAGGGCAAAGTTGGTATACACAGACATATACCCCTGTATGTGTGCGGAAGTACTTTGGGCATGTACACAAGCCTCTGTGAATCCTAGGGTTGTCATATTAAATCATGCATAATTTATATTTTTTTTGTCTTTGTTCTAGTATGCCAGTGTTGAAAAAGATGGCGAACATTACATGACACCAGGAGATTTTGTGCAGCGATACCTGGGACTGTACACGGACCCTCATTATAATGCTAAAACTGTGCAACTGCTGGCAGGAGTGGCGGATCAGACAAAGGATGGGTGAGGAATTTGCCAGTTTGTGGCCTTTGACTGAGAACAATGACTTTTTTGTATAGCATTGAGATCTTCTGTGGCATAAAACCTCGAAGCTGAAGAGGCTAGTTGCAGTTGGATTTTGAACAGCAGCTTGCCTCTTCAGCTGACACAACTACTGCAGCAAAAAAAAAAAGATGAACCTGAGTGCTCCTGGGGTGTGCAGTCCCCACCCGTGGACCTGAATCTGCTGATTGTTGCCAGCTCTGGGTTGGAAAATTCCTGGAGATTGGGGGTGGAGCCTGGGGTGGATGAGGTCTGGAGAGGGGAGGGACCTCAGCAAGGTATAAAGCCATAGAGCCTGCCCTCCAAAACTGCCATTTTCTCCAGGGGAACTGATCTCTGTAGCCTGGAGATCAGATGTAGTACCTGAAGATCTCCAGCCACTACCTGGAGGCTGGCAACTCTAGAAGATTTTGAACATGTCTGTTTTTATGAGTACATCACTGTGAGACCCGGGAAAATACGAGTGTGTCAAAAGCATTTTGTGGTGTTCTTTAAGGCGCTGGTGAGGGTTTGATTTCGTTGCAGTTATGGGAAGCTGATGTTCCACCAGGCTTTCGGCTGAGGACAACGATGGCACCCTCATACTCCTCTTACCCCTTATGTGTCCCCCCCCCCATGTCTTATAGGTTTCTCCTGGGAGGTCTGCGATCTGCTAAACTAGGGTTTCTGACTGCTAGCCATCTTGGAACTGATAAATTTCACTATGGACTGTTGCTTTCTTTTGTTGGTTTAAAATTTTTTTAACTTGTATATTTATTGTATATCTCTGTTGTAAGCCGCCCTGAGCCCTGCTTGCAAGGGAGGGAGGCCTAGAAATTTAATAAAATAAAATAAAAAAATAAATAATGGATACATTTTCAGTTGTAGTATGTTCACCTGTTTCTTTACTATTACCATGGAGAAATCCTATTCTCCGTGTATGTCAAAGACTCCAGGGTCTCTGGTGCTAGTGGCCAAATGCCCTGTTTGAGAAGTGGAGAAAAGTCATGTGACCTTTGTGGTAAAAGTTCCCTCTAAATCTCATACATCGTGCTGTGGAGGGCCCCTCAAAAATGCAATCTGTTAGACCCTAATCACTCACTATATATGGCAAGCAAACTATTTCCCTAATCAAGATAAGGTCATAATGCCTTGAGCTTTTAAAACATTACTTACAGACCATAAATATTCTTTGCTGTAAAATCGCTTTCTGCAACTAATTTGCGGGATGTCCACTTGCCTCAAACGTAGCCTTTTAACCCACTCTGTTTCCGAGCAGCCCCACATGCCTAGTGTTGTGTCCTCTTTACACAGGCCTCCCGATTTATTTAGCAGGAGAGTGCAGACGTTGTTGGACAATAGCCGAGAAGTTAACATACACTGGGGCAGAGGTTAAAGATCCCATCAGAGAGCAGTGATAAAGAGGTGGTGAAAGGTGACATTTATAATACAAAGCAGTATTTAGAAAGCAAACAGTTTTTGGTGGATGTCTTCATTTATTTGAAATTAAAAGGCCCTTAAATTCTTAAGGGTTATTATATGTGCAGATATAACCTTTGATGTTCTAAATGCTTTTATTTTCCTCGTTGCCCTGTTGTAGTTTTTTTTTTTTAAAAAAAATTGGTGCATTTTCTAAATAAAATTCCAGTTGATGTTACAGAAACAGCAAATTATAGCATTTCTCCCTGGAAACTTGTTTCTATAAAGGTGTGGCTTTTAAAGTGACTCTCCTGGAGAGATTCATAACTATTTCTATGTGTGTGGGGGGCCATCTTCACCCCTATCCTTTGATTTTTGGTTTGAGCTGAGCAAGGAGGATGGTAGGCAATGAGCATATAGGTGGTGATTTATAACTGCCTGTGTTTCATAGAGCTGCTGGTCCCTCTATTTCATCATCACAGTTAAAGCATTGGATGGACCACTGGAATAACTCAAAGGGCCGTGGCTCAGTGGTAGAGTATCTACTTTGCATGCAGAAGGTCCCAGCGTTCAAGCTTCAGGTAGTGGGTGATGTGGAAGACCTCTGCTTGAGACATTAGAAAGTTGCTGCCAGTCAGAGTAGGCAGTATTGACCTTGAGGCACCACATGGTGTGATTCTGTATAAGGCCACTTCATGCATTCGTCTGCTTCCTGCCCATCTGTCCTTGAACCCAGGATGAAACTTGATATTGCTTGTGCAACCGGCCAGTCTTTTTGCTTTAGCTTTTTTTGGACAGTAGAATGAATCAGCCTTCAGGATGGGCAAAAGGAAATACTTCTTTACACAAGGAGTGGTTAAAATTTGATATTCACCTCCAGAGAATGTAGTGATGGCCACAGGCATAGACAGTTTTAAAAGGGGATTGGGCAGGTTCATGGAGGATAGGTCTGTCAATGGCTGTTCATGGAGGATAGGTCTGTCAGTGACTAAAGGGAGCCTTTACATACTGTGGCAGTAAACCTCTGAATACCAGTGTCAGGAAGCAACGTAAGGGGCAGGCCTTGGCCTCTGTGACCTGTTATTGGACCGCCAGAGGAACTGTATGGGACAGAATGCTGGACTAGATGGACTACTGGTCTGATCCAGCAGGGTTCTTCCTATGTTCTGATGAGTAGAAGTTGAGGATTACAGAACTAAGAAGTGAATGTCCCGTTTAAAAAGTACGTGGATGCCTTCTTTCAGACGATGATGAGATATTATTTGGCTGCTTGGGTTACACTCCTAAAGAAGGGAACACATGCATTTGAGTCCCCTATGCTCAGTTTCTTGTAGAATCAAGAAAGGGTGGGGAAGAGAACCCTGCCTTCAGAGCAGCAGTAAGCCACTTATTTTGACAGTTGTGGACCATTTCAAAACAGTGAAACCTCTCTTGCTCTGGGCAGTTACTTCCAATTCAGTGGGGTACTTTGAAACTGTTGGGTATTTCTGTTCTGAGGACAGCCTGAGTCAAGGTTCCCTCTAAACTGGAGTCCTGTAAGCAAAAATTCTACTTTGTGAGCTACTTGCATTAAAGTTGTGAGCGAGCGATTTGGCTCCTGCATAAATTAGTGTGCTCTGGAGCCCTCCTTCCTGAGCTAAGGCAAAAATGTGTGAGCCGGAGGCTAAAAAGCTGTGAGCTATCTCACACTAACTCAGCTTAGAGGGAACACTGCCTGAGATACATATACATACACACATACTCAGCCCTTGACGAGGTGCTGTTAACACCAGCGCCGGCAATGAAGAAATTGGGTGTGATTTTGGATGCCTTGCTATCTGTGGAGGGCCAAGTCACAAGTGTCGCCGGAATGGCATTCTTCCATGTTTACCAGATCAGGCAACTGGCTCCCTATCTCTCTGCCCTTGACCTGGCTACAGTGATTTATGCAATGGTTACCTCCGGGCTGGACTACTGTAACTCGCTCTGCACAGGGCTACTGATCTAGAAACTTCAGCTGTCCAGAATGCAGCAGCGCATATCCTTACAGGAGCACCACTAAGAGCACATATACACCTGGTAGTTCGCCAGCTGCACTGGATTCCAGTTGAATACGGGGTCAAGTTAAAGGTTTTGGTTTTAAACTTTAAAGCCCTGTGCTTTAAACATACCTTCAGGACCGTCTCTCTCAGTATGTCCCCCGAAGAGCATTACGCTCGATAGATCAAGATCTGCTGGTGACCCCCCAGCCCTAAGGCTGTTCGCTTGGCCTCAACCAGAGCCAGAGCCTTCTTGGCTCTGGTGCCGGCCTGGTGGAACAGCCTCCCAATTGAGATCCAGGCCCTGCGGGACTTAATGCAACTCCCACAGGGCCTGCAAGATGGTTGAGGCAGCGGAGATCTATTTATGTAGGCCTCCCCCTGCACTGCTACCAGCTTGTGTTATCTTTCATCTGCCTGTTCCCCCCAGTTCTAGTTGCCATCCATCTGTAAATATATGGGAAACCTGCGCAAGAGCAGACGGAGATGGATTGGTTAAATGGTGCCATCTACTGTGTATCGTCAATATCAATTGATTTTATTGTTACTTGTGTTTTAAGAATTGTTCTTTTATATACTGGCCTATGCTATTCATTGTTCAATGGTAACCCACCCTGAGCCTGCTTGTGGGGGAGGGCAGTCTAGAAGACGGATAAACACACACACACTCACGTGTGTGTGTGTCCTGTCCTTTCTGTCCTTGTCTGCTGTTTCTGAGAAGGATTCTGCTGCTTCTTTCAGAAGTGATTCTTACCAGCAGCCAGAAAAGGCAGCACAGGGACTCAAAAAATAAAGCCACTGATTAGGAGGAGGATGTATAAATTGGCTTATTGTGGATTTTTTTTGCATATAGCTTTGATTATTCCATATGGGCTTTTTTTGGGTTTCTCACAATTTTTTTTTAAAAATCCATGTTCTTTCCAATTATGCTTCTAGTGTGGATTTTTCCCCCCATAGCTTTGATTATTCCATATGGGCTTTCCTTTGGTTTCTCACAATTTTAATTTTTTTAAATCCATGTTCTTTCCAATTATGCTTCTATGTAAAGAAGGAATTGCTGCATTTATTCCTTGTAAATTTGATAAGTTCAGAATTGCTGATTTCCTGGGCCATTAGATTGTAATAATGTGCTGGAAAGTGCTGTGAAATCACAGCTGACTTTATGGCGCCACCTCGGGGTTTTCAAGGCAAGAGACATTTAAGAGTGGTTTGCCATTGCCTGTCTCCACGTCACAATCCTGGTATTCCTTGGAGGTCTCCCGTCCAAATACTGGCCTGGGCTGACCCCGCTTAGATTCTGAGATCCCCTCCACCCATGTCAACTGGGGAAGAAAGACTCTTTACTTATATCTACTTTCTGCCACTCCCATATAGGAATTAAACATGAGGGGATGAAATATACTCTTTACATAGACTGCAGGCTTGGAACAGTCCAAGTAGTTGATTAAACTCCTAGATTTGATTCTGGCATACTGGTATCTTTAAATTTTGCACAGTGTTGTATAGGACACAATACACATACTAGTTTATTTTATTTTTACCCCTCCTCATTCTCCTCTCCTCTATGTTATCTTTGCAGCTGTGAGATATATTAGGCATTTCTTGTGGTACCAGACTGCTGTCAGTTTGATTCTGCAATGATAACTACTACAGCCTAACAAACCAGTGAAAATGGGCTAGTTGTGCTTGGGCAGAGATCTTGTCCAATGATAGCAATTGTGTGACGATCTAATGATTAGAGCTGCATTTTAATTGTGGAACGTATTGTTGAGTGATAACAGAAATGAATGGATATCAAATTAGTAGGATGGATCCTACCTTTATCATCCCACTCCACTGAGCATTATTAAACTATTTATACCATACCTGGCCTTTTGGCTCAAGCTTGAAGCTTTCTTCCAACTTAAGGGGCTCCTCTGTTGAAGGAAGAGACTTTGAAGTTAAAATAAGGCTTTTTAGCCTGGAACAAGGCTATTTGGAGTCCTGCAGGGCATGAATGTTATTCGGCAAAAAGTTCCACTGGGATGGAGCCGGGTCGGAAAATGCCCTGGCTCTGGTCAAGGACAGCTAGATATCTCTCAAACTGGGGCCCACCAGCATTATATGAAACAAGAAGGGGGATTCCCGATACTCGC